AATGTTTAAATAATAAATTTTCATACATTTTATAATGGTCTTGTAGTGTGCTTGTTTACTTTTGCCCTGTTTGTCATTTTGTTCGGATGTGCTTGTCTTTTACAATTTTCTGTTAATAGTCTAATCATACTACCAAATAATTGTAAAGTCTGGTTTCATTGGTACAAGTTGTTCAAGGGGGTATTTAAATCACGGACGCATAAAATGGGTACACCAATTTTTGTGGGAAAACTTTTGAGTCCCCTTGAACAACTTGCAGCAATAAAGCCAGACTTTACAAATATTTCGCAAACCAGAGGTATTTTCGTCTAATATGATTAGACTATTAGTGTTGTTCTTTCCAACAAATTTTTTGTTTTGTGAATTTACACTATTGCTCGTTTAAACATATTAGCTTTAAAGCCATAGGGTTTTGTATTTACCATATATATTGCCATAGTTTGTATTTATGTAGCAGAAGCCATAGAATTTTTTTATTTTTAGGCAACCTGTAGACCTGCAGAAAAAAACACAAATTATACAGTCAGCTTCAAATATTAAAAAAGGGGAAGAAGGTGAAATAAAACCCGGTAATGAATCACAACAGCAATGCGAAATTAATAAAAATACAGATAAACAGAGAGCAAAACCTTCTCAGGAAGCTATGAAAAATAAGATTGCTCTACTCGAGAAAAATCTGAATGCTTTGTATTCTGCCAGAGATACTATGCCAAGCCGTGCTGAAGTTGATAAATAGATCATTAAGTTGCGCTAGGAAATAAAAACAGCAAAACAGTCTTTAAATAGGAAGTTTCAAAACGCAGTTGCCCAGAAGAAGCACATGGATGGTATGAAAAGAAAGTTAGAAGATATTTGTCATGAAAATCCAGATGTAAAAAAAAGACTATCTCTGAGGGATTCAGTGGGACGTGCTAATCTTGAAAGCAATCAACATTCACTATTGAAAACAATCGCGGATATAGCTTTATTTGCAGCAGATGATAGAAGACGAACGGAATCAATTCGAAGCGTAAAAACTCTTGATGAACTCACACAAGAATTACGTAAAATAGGATTTGACATTAGTCGCAGTGGGACATATCTTCGTTTGATTCCCAGAAAATCTAATTCTGCAGAGGGACGAAGACATGTGCCTGATCACGATTGGGTAATCGCTCGTCATAAATTAATTCCATCTGTTCATGCTGGTATCAAAATCACTTCCAATATGCTAGGACAACCGCAAGCCGTTGGATATTCTGGTCCAACATACATCGCTATCCCAAGTGTATAGCATAGTTCATCTACTGCTAATACTCATGCTCAGGATTTCGAGACGTTTCTCGAACTTGGAGAGTTTCGACCATTAGCTAAAACTGACTATGGACTAGTAAAACCAGTGGTAATCATGACGGTTGATAAGGGGCCAGATGAGAATCCACGTTATCAAAAAGTAATAGGGTTTGCTGTACAACACTTTAAGCGACATGATCTGGATGCATTGTTTTTAGCTACCAATGCTCCTGGCAGAAGTGCGTATAACAGACTAGAGCGCAGAATGGCTCCTCTTAGTCGGGAACTGGCTGGTTTAATATTGACTCATGACCATTTTGGGTCTCAATTGGATGAACGTGGCGTTACAAATGATGAACATTTAGAAAGATCTAATTTCGAATTTGCAGGAAATGTATTAGCTGAAGTATGGAGTTCAATGGAAATTGATGGCTATAATGTTAATGCAAAATATGTTGGGGAGGTGAACAAGATTTTCCTGATTTTCCAGACATTAAATGGTATTCAGAACATGTGCGTGAGAGCCAATACTTGCTTCAAATTGTAAAATATAGAAATACAGAATGCTGTCGTCCAAGAAGTGGCCTATTTAGATTACTAGACAATAGGTTTCTTCCACCACCTGTAAAAGTAAAACAAACAGTTGATGACTTGGTTTTGGATGAAGGAGGGCAATTTCTTAATCTTCCAGTCAGTTTAGCTCTACGCTTAAGTGCTTCACTCAAAGATTTCCTGCAAATGCCCTACGATTATTTTTGTCCGACGGTAAAATTGAGGCTATCAAGTCGAACATGCAAAACGAGTGGTCTTTATCATGCTTACGTCAAGTCACTAAATTGTCATATCGAAAATATCCATAATAAAGTAAACACGCACCCTGATAGGAAAGTTAGACCTGTAAGAGTCGCTGCTCGTCGTGCTAATGAACTGATGTGCATTATTCAAAATTTAGAGCACCATGATGTTGAATGGCTCGATGAGAACGACGTAGACATTCCAAAATCCGATGAAAGCGAGCAAACTCACAACACTGAGCAGCAATCGAAGCAATCCAATGTCATCGAAAACTTATAATCATGGATTCGGGTTTCATGGACTGAAGACTTAATTTGAATTTAATATATGTACCAAAAATTTAAAATAAGTCTGTTATGTTAGTAAGATATAATATTTTTGTCCTTTACTCTATGTTGAATACAGTATCAGTAAAATATAATCTCTATCCTAAATCTATTTTATTATTTTTCAAATTATCATTATAACGTTATAATTATAATATAAAAAAACAATACATTAATAGACAAATGTTTACGTAAGCATGGGGGAGGGGATTAGAGCTTTGCTTACTTTTGCTGACAAGGGGGATGGGGGGTAAATAATTGTAATAAAGCTGCTTTCTTAATACTTGAACGGCCCCAGAGTGTTAGTGTGTATGTTTGAGACAGGAGTTCTTCCCAGGGTTGATTAGACGTCGGCAAGAAAAAACTTTTCTATATTATGGTTATGTATCTATGGGATAAACCTATAACCTCGCCGTTCATTTCAGCTGGTCGACGTCCAGATCACTGAGGAAAGCGGCAACTGCTGGGAAAAGTTAGGCCTTTTTGTTAAGGACTTAGAAGTACTTCTCTCTACATGACCTCCTCACTCTGTACAAGACCGAGATAAGACCTAGACTCGAGAATTGCTCACATGTTTGTCACCCTACCTCACGCCATTTTTAATTCAAAAATTATTATTTTTTGAGTCAAAGCATATATAGAATGCTTGAAGTGACGGAACCAGTTGACAATAATTATTACGTGTATTGTTGCATGGATCCAGCTCATGACATCTATACCGGAAATTAGTGACTTCCTCATTATATCAAATTTGCATCAAAATCAGATAGGCCAACTTCGAGATTGTAGACGTTGACGATCAAATATTCGTTAAAAAGTAATTTTGAAGCAACGTTGAATTGCACCTTTTTGGAATCCCCAAAATTATGTGTACCTACAATCTGTCAAATTTCCGTCTACCAATATATGGATGAGCCTTTCATGGTTGAGATCTAGGGCTATTTTATGCGAAGAATGGGAATGATTTATCAGTGCATTGTGGACATGTGTATGTAATAGTGACAAAATGGATGAAATTATGCACCGTCCGTCCAGTTGCTTTAGTAGGGGAGAGACTCGGTCACTAAACTCCACAAAAGATAATTTGCTGCAGCAAGAAATCACACAAACCGACAAGATTTCTACCCAGAAATCAGAGTATACCATTCTGAAAATTTCTGCTGCATTAAATCCGATTCCGTAGTCCAAATATCTTAATTGGCTATAGTGTTAGTATGATATGCGAACCTAAAGCTTCGAAAATAGCGATTTTTTCCTATATTTGAAGTCATGTAGCATGGCGAATTATTTTTTTTTCAAAAAACCAGACACCTTGTTAATCCGATTTTTCAACCGCCTAAGGTAGCAGAACTGGAAAAGGCCTCCTGAGGCAGATTGTTCTACGATTTCGACATCCTAGAGCCAAACGATCGGTCTCATCCGTCTGTTTTGGTTGTACGAAGTTCGACACGGTTAGGAGGGTACTTTGAAGTTTCCATTTTTCTGAATCTGGCTATATCTGATACTCTATCCGTTATGATTGCTTGTGCATCAAAGTTGTGGTTTGGGTTATAATACACCAAAACTTTAGTAACAAATTGATGTATATTATTTGGTTGATGTTTGGGTCGTTCAGAAGGTGCCAACCACTCTTGTTGGCGAAACGTCAAGTAACAATGTTTTACGACGACCTTACAACCCAAAAATCTACAAAATAATATATACTGGATGATGGCCGCGAAAGCCTTTTGCATTTCAAATTGATGTATTTCTATGATATATGAACTTTCTGTTAAATAATCCATAAATACTCAAGACTAAATATCTACCCAAACCACAAGCCCACAACACATCCTATCCTATCAAGGCCGAGCTTAACGTTGTTACTTTCTACTGCAAACTTTTTTGAAATAAGAAATGACTTTCTTCTGATAAAATCTAAACATGTAGATTATTAAATAAAGTAGAGTTCAGAAGGATGAAAATTTCAAAATGCAGCAGTAGAAGATGTTTAAGCAAACTCAACCGCATTTGGAAGCGCAAGGCTTGTACTTTGATATCTTTGGTTTTTTGAGAAAAAAATAATTCGCCATGTTACAACCACATACATAGGCAAAAATCTCGGAAACAGTTGAGGGATTTGGCCCACGGAATCGGATTCATCACATCAAAAACCTTCGCGAAGGTACACTCAGGTTGTGGGTAAGCGGGTCTGCCTGTGATATTTTCCTTGAAACAGCTTCAATCGGCATCTACATTGCGGACTGTTAGTTCGCAAGAAATGATGAACTTTTTTCATACCTTTATGGGTCCAATCTAATCTTCTGTCATTCGAGATTCATAAAAAATAAGTTTACAGATAAAAGCAGCTAAGTATATAAGTATATAAGTATATATTCCTAAATTGTTAGTGTTTTACTTGAGTAACGTTTGTATAGGGTGCCCAATTTAAAACAAGTGATTTGCTATGTACTTTGGGAGTGATTTGAAATGGCACCATTCTTTAGTATTCTAAAATTGATATTAGTTTGCAGCATAATTCTCATGATTTCCTAATGCCGACTTTTTGAGGAAAAATGAAGCAGTTGGACGTATAAAATAGCAGTCTATGTTTAAAAGATATCAAACCATTCGAATTCGTGATCAACTTATAATCAGAAACACATCCGATAACGTCACAAAAGCTCCACAGAAACTCCCGCGCGTTTGCGAATCAAGCTCGCAAGCCGATCTTCAGCTGTTTCTCGCGAAAGCTCGCACCGCCAACTACCGGCACACGGCGATTCTCGCTTGTTTTCGCGGCCTCCGTTGATCTGCGCCCGTGTCCGCCTCACACGTGCCACACGGAGATGTGCGTGCGTGTGTATATAGGTGGCTGTGCCGATGGATGGAGCAATGGAGGTGGAGGCCGATTGGCGGATGTTGAGCGGATGGCAGAAGTTCACGCGGACAGGCAAGGCGCCATGTCATGGTAATACAACTGCCACTGTCGGAAAACCCGCTACGCGTTAGGGTAGGTCGGAGGCAGGAAGCGCGGTACATAGCGCACGTGATTCCCTGGAAGCACGGTCATTTGTCTCCCCTTTGGATTGATAAGCTTTAGAAGCTCGACAAGCTTAATTCTCAACCGTTTGCGCTGAGGTTTATCTTTTTCTTATGAAACCTTAAATTTATATCGTAGAATTGATTAACGTAAGCTACCCGTATATTTATAGTCAACCACATACTGTATTCCCTCCAAAAATATTGTACTGAATATCTCAATATACTAAATAAGTTTAATTAGCCATCATAATAACGGGTCATGCATCGAAAATATATTCTTGAACTCAAAATACGACATTATAGATCAAATACGACCTTTTATCATACAAACCCATATCACAGATCATTACGCAATTGTACAGGGTGTCCAGTGGGAAAGATCACATTTCAAATTCAAATTACGCGGCAACCATATACGCGAGCAAGTGGGGAGAAGTCTTGATCGATGCGTTTGCCGTGCGGGTTAAATAGTCACAATGGAACGTTGGACCGGAGCGCAATGTGCTTTTGCTATCGAGGCTTACTTTAAGAGTGGTGATTCATACGCAGCTGTCCTTCGGAAATTTTGTGTACGATACAACATTCTCCCACCAAGAGATGCCCCAAGCAAGAACCAATTGAAAAAGTGGATTAAGATGTTCCGTGAGACAGGCTCTACTCTTAGTCAACCCATTCCTGGCCCCACACCTACTGTATCAACCGAAGAAAATGTGGGTGAAGTAAGTGAGTAAGAGTCGGTCATTGCAAATCTTCGGCGTTCTGTTCGGAAGCATTCCGCTGCTTTGGGAATCCCTAGGTCAACACTGCATGGCATAATCATCCTCATAAAATTCAATCACTCCATGCTTTAAAGGCAAGTGATTACGTATTACGGAAATCTTGTGCTGAACGGATGTTGAATCTTTTTCCTACGCAGCGCATACTCGAGAACGTTGAACAACAGCTACATAGTCCAAAGGTGACTATTTCATGCGCCATATCCTCTAGCGATATTATGGATATTTCTTTGAAGATGAAAACGGTCATGCATTGACAGCCAATTATGAGCGATACAAGGGCATGATTGACACTTTTTTTGCTCCTATTGTAAGAACAGAACGTCGATTTAACAGCAACACGTGGTTTCAACAGGATGGGGCCACTACCCATACTTCCAAGAAGCTATGGACACGGTGAAAGCACTTTTTCCTCAAAAAGTTATATCGAAGTTTGGAAACATTCACTGGCCTCCTAGGACACTCGATCTCACGCCATGCGATTATTTTTTGTGGGGTTATCTAAAGTCAAAGGTGTAATCCAATAATCCACGAACACTGGAGGAGCTTAAAGACAACATTCGACGAGAAATAAACAACATCACTCGGAACTCTTCAAGAGAGTGTTTCAGAATTTGTGCGCGCCATTAGAGAAGTGTGTGCGGAGGGATGGCAAACATTTGGACGGAATGATATTTAAGAAATAAAATCCCTCGAATTTACGAGTATATTGATAGTAATAAATATTTTCTTTTCAACAAGTTTGTATTTTTTTTTACTTAAATCAAAAGGTGAACTTTCCCACTAGATACCCTGTACGTTATCAGCTTAAAAAAGTTTTAAACAAAGATGAAACAAATTTAGGATAAGACGAAGACAATAGAACGATAAACGTGAAAGCAACAAAGCCGCCATAGAGGATTTCGATGTACCACCCTGTGCCATTTTGTTTTTAGTAGAAGGGCAGAACGTAAACAGGTCCTATTTTTAAAATAATGATTTCAGTCCTTCCCACATTCAACCGACTCATAACATTTACAGGTCTACTACCTCAAAGATTACGTTAGGCCCGTATCTTCAGTCGTTTCTACAATTGTAGGGCGCGTTTATGGCCTCCTTGATTGTCATATTCCTGTCTCTCCTTCAAAAATTTCTAGATTACACCTGTCCCGTGTCAGCGTCAGCGCTCTCCTACTGTGAAGATATGTTTTCTTTTTAAATTGTAGAAAATTTCAGGCTGATAAAACATGATATAACTCAAAAGCAAGCACAATTTGATGCAAATAGATGTTTGTGACATAACCTCAAAATAGAGTTCTGACACGGAGAAGTAGAAAACTATGACAATCAAGGAGGCCATAAAGGCGCCCTACAATTGCAGGGACGACTGACGATACGGGCCTTAGTTATCTTCAGTGGTACCAATTCATCGTACAGATTATTAATTTATGATTTATCATATACTATAGGGTACACAGCCCTTTAATTAGGATTTAAGCACACAGCAGCTCAAGTGTTCAACATAGGATTCAGGCACACAACGGGCTATGTTGATACCCAGGTATATGGACTGATATACATACTGAGTTTAATGATTGTTACGAAAAGCAGTCCAGATGTCCAGGATGTCACGTTGTCCTGTCTACACCCAAAGGCTCCGACGTAACCTCTGCCTCTGAGATAACCGAGCAACATGACAACTTTAAAGGAACAATTCATATGCGCATCCTGCCATGAAATACATTCAGACTCCAGCAATTGCCAAGAGTAGATCGTAATCAGGCATGGGATGTTACGTCGCCCAAAAGCCATCCTGTCAACAACCCACGCGCTTCGGCATAACACCTGTATACCTAAGCCAGTTAAGTTCCCTATCCTTATCGGAAATTATTGAGCCCGTAAGCCATTAGTAGAAATATGGATATATATGATCAAAGCATCTTTATAAATATGACTTACTCATGCAACAGCTATGGTGAATGACGTAAGCTGCAGGGTCCTCAGGACGTCGAGGAGCTTGGACTCAAGGCGATTCTCAACTTCGCTAAAAGGGCGAGGCTTGTGATGTAAGGAATGTAGAGATGTATAAGGGCCCGTTTAAGTGGCCTATGTACTGGCTCCTTATGGTGGCCGGAATGCCTCTAATTTCACGATTCATTCATACTCATGATCATGAATATAAAAGTATTATGGTTATAAATCCATCCAGCACAGTAGAACAAAGGAAATACTCAGTGAATGCTCACCTTTCAGGCAACCAAAACATTACACTGAATAGCACAACAACGCTGCATTAAGGTTCACGACGCTCACTACTTGATCTAGGAAGCGATTACTTGTATATGACGCCCCTGAAAGCTCACCCTGGGAATAAGTGCTTGGAGGAGGAATGGAACGTATAACACAAACAGATTTCGTGCGGTGCAGGGTGGAACTCGCATGCAAAATGTGTTCGAGATATTTCTTAAGCTTACACAAAACATCATACTGGTCTTAATGAATTGAAACCGCATTTGTAGATATTTTTTCTCGAGATGATTGTACATATTTTAAAAAAACCGTAAGGAGAAACAAACTTGGATCACAAACGATCTCGTAAAATCTACAGCTTGAAAAAACTATTCAAATGCACACAAAATAACCTAGATGACAACAAAATTTGGAAGCAGTACAACACATACAGAAATAAATTAAGAAGTTTAATTGTAAAAGAAAACGTGACTATTATCAAGACCAAATAATAAGTAGTTCGATACTGTCGATACTGTCAGTCACAAGTTATAGTCCAGGCTAAATAAAAGAAAAGGTGAAAAAGAGTTTACAGATAGTAGTTTTAAATGGAAAACGAGGTCTTTCTAATTACAAATACAAAAAAGATAAAGCCAAATATGTGTTGCTTTTTATAAACAATTTTCAAAGTAATTTTTATAAATAACTGGAAAACTGGAAATTTTAGAGCACAAAAAGTCCTACAATTTTGTTTTCCAAGAACTAAATTCGATAAACAATTAAGCTAAATACGGGGCTTTTTAGCAATATTAATTATAGCAATAAATGTTATTGCAATAACAATTGTAAATGGCTGAAATTTGTGAAAATGAGTGCAACATTGGTGCTAACAAGTGTGCTAAATTTCAGCCAGATCGATTTAATAGCTTATGTAAAAGGATGGTAATTTTATATCCCAGAGACGAATTATTTAAGCAATACTGTCCTTGCCCAAGACATGGTCCTAGAACATTTTACGAAAGTGAAATAGATTCTTTAAGCTTTCAACTTCAACAATTTATGCAAAAAATTAACTATTTATTTCAAATTTGTTGTTAAAAATGATGTTAAAAAAATAGTCACCTTTATAGTTATAAAAATTTACAATAGCCTCGTTATTGTTGAATATAATTTATTTTAACAAGTTGGTTTGGATAGGTGGAAAAAACGCATAATTTAAAAAACCTTCTTCGGGTATATTACCAGTTACAAACAGGTTAGGCAATGCCCAAGATACGGCCCTAGAACATTTTACGAAAGTGAAATAGATTCTTAAAAATTAATTATTTATTTCAAAATTGTTGCTGAAAATGGTGTTAAAAAATAATCATCTTTATAGTTATAAAAATTTACAATAACCGCGTTATTTTTCAATATAATTTATTTTAACAAGTTAATCTGGGTAGGTGGAAATGAAAACATATTTTAAACAACCTTCTATGATTAGGCAATACAGGGTTATCCAAATTAAGTGTCCACCATTAGTAACTTTGTTATTAGTGAAAATACAAAGTTGTTTGAATTAGCAAACTAGTAGCATTTTTAACGCTGGTAAAAATGAGAAATAAAAAAAAACAATTGAGAGTCGTTATTTTGATTTTTTTCAGTAAAATAACATTTTTTTAAATGGAAACCCCTGTATATTATATTTTTTTCTGTTAAAGCATCAAATTTTAAACAAAACAGCTTACAATAACTTTTCTCCTAGGTTACAAATTGTTGAAGTTATGGCCTCCAATCTGAAACAATTAAATTGTATCGACAAACTTTATTTTCAACATCAACTTATAATCTTACAAAATACAATAACAATTTTTTTTAAAGAAGATGCTCGAAAACACCACCTTGTTCTTCAATACATTTTTGGGCACGTTTTTCTACTGCTCGAACTGTCTTAAGTATGGTCCTACCATCTATCTGGGTTATCTTTTCCCTAACTGCAGTCTTTAACGCGTCAAGGTTATCGTACCTTCGCTTGTAAATTTGGTTCTTTAAGTAACCCCACAAGAAGTAATCAAGTGGGTTTAGATCTGGTGATCTGGGAGGCCACTGTATTGGGCCATTTGTTCCTATCCACTGATCATTAAAAGTAGTACTTAGAAAATGATAAGTACCTCTGGAGTTGTGGGCAGGTGCGCCATCTTGCTGAAGATGCAGATGATGTCTACTTATAAGATCCAATTCGTCTAAGAAATTAGTCAGAATTTCTGACATAAATTCCACATATCTTTCACCAGTTAGGGTTCCCTCATAAAAGAACGGGCCAACAATTTTTGAACCAATTATACCGCACCAAACGTTGAAACTGAAACGGACTTGTGGGCCTCTTGGATGTACTAACAAAAGATTTTCTCTTGACCAATAATGGTGGTTTTTTCTATTAAACATTCCAGAATTTGAAAAATTTGATTCATCTGTCCATAAAAGGTAACGAAAGTTATTTACATTTTGGCGACAGAAGCTAAGATACCAATGGCAAAAAACAAGTCTTCGCTCTGGATCCCCTGCCAAAAGCATTTGAACTGGTCGGTACTTATACGGAATAAATTTGTATTTTTTTAAAATCCTTTGAACAGTACCATAACTGAAATTAGAGTCCTTGAGAATATCTGCTATTGAATTCTCACGATAAGCTTCAAAATATCCAATAACTGCAATTTCCGTGGCCTCGCTTATTATGAATTCTTTTTTTGCCCTTGTTTTAGCAAAAATATTTTCGTTGCCCCTAAATTTTCGATAAAGTCTCAGAAAATATCGTTCATACGGTTGAATGCGAGCGGGATATAATTCACTGTAGTATTCTCTTGCTCTCAAGGAGGATTTTCTGCACACTAAATAGCATTCTAACATATTACACTTTTCTTCATGGGAGAACATTTTTCTTTAAATTAATGACACAATAAAGCTTATAAACAAGTATTTACACTAATGTTTGACATTATTTGATTTTATCATTGTTTTCCAAAGCCTTCTAGTTGCGAGTATGTCCAGTTTAACAATTTGTCGCTTATCTTAATGCTGTCAAATCGCGAACGCCATGTTGTTTTCATAGCCGCCTTAATATTATAATACTGCAAATAATTAAAAATATTTATCGTTATTTTGACTTTATTTTTGACTTTAGCGGAAAAGTCATCATGAACTTTTTTGTTTAAAATTTGATGCTTTAACAGAAAAAAATATAATATACAGGGGTTTCCATTTAAAAAAATGTTATTTTACTGAAAAAAATCAAAATAACGACTCTCAATTGTTTTTTTTTTATTTCTCATTTTTACCAGCGTTAAAAATGCTACTAGTTTGCTAATTCAAACAACTTTGTATTTTCACTAATAACAAAGTTACTAATGGTGGACACTTAATTTGGATAACCCTGTATATTAGATCCAACCAAGTACGGGTGGAGGCGAAGTGACAACGGTTTCGAACCAATCTGTACTATGAATAGTTTAATACCAGACGATACTATCAAACAAATTTCCTGCAAATGTACTACTGGCTGCCAAACGGGTAGGGGTAGTTGTAAAAAACATTAGTTAAATTGCACACCTTTGTGCATAAGTTATAATGATGGTGATGATGACACAAAATGGTACAACCTTGCTGTAATTGGAATTGACCATAATGAAGACCAGACTGAGAAAGTCGACGACTTATTTGAAGAAATGAGTTATACAAATTGAAGAAGTAGAGCGCCCAAATAAAAGATTTAGAACGGAGGATCAAGATAAACCAAATAATAATAAAATACATTAAATAACATAATTATAACACAAATGCAAACAAAATAAATTTAAATGAAAGACAAACGTGAATCGACGATTTTTACAATTAATTAGATTGTATTTTGTAGAGTATGCCAATTAACTGAATCATTAAGTGTGTTTTATTTTAAAATACAAATTAGTTAATTACAGTGAGAGTAAAAGTAAATTATTAATTGTTAATGCAACGTGTTAAGTTTTCCGGGATTTCCCGATTTTCTAGGAAATGAAAATTTGCCAGATGTCATTATTTAGACGAGTTACCCCAAATTAAAAAACGAAGGTTCTACGTTGCTTGGAAGCCAAGATAATGCAAAGTTTCGCAGCGCGCTCCGATTTGAGAACTGATTCCCCCACCACCTCACTCGGAAATACTTACGCGAGTACCTTCACTTTAGGTGGCCGTTTCGTAAAGACCTTCGAACTAACAGTAAAATTATAAATTGGATCATAAAATTGAGATCTTTGCTTGAAATTTGTGAATAGTTCGAGTCTTAATATTTGTAAAGCAGATATGAATTTTAGAAAAAAATTATCTTGGCTTTTATTGGTCGTAGAAGATGTTTTTATAATATAATTTTTAACCACCTCATAAATTATATTGAAAAATGACGGAGTTATTGTAAATGTTTATGGATATAAAAATGGCTATTTTTATCATTATTTTTGAAATAAATAATTAATTTTTTGCATAATACCTTCAAGAATCCATTTCACTTCTGTAAAAAGTTCTAGGACCACGTCTTCGGCAGGAACAGTTGCTTACATAATTCGGCTCTGGGATAAACAATTAGCTCTATGAACTTACAGTTAAATATAATGTATCACGACCTTAGACATGGGCTAATAATGAGCTATCAGGTGAGGAATGGTTTCGATGTTTTAGAAAAGAAACCCCGCACTGCCTCTACGTGTAGCGCAAGCAAGTCTCCATGGCTTGTTCTGGGGCGACTAGCTTTAATAAAACCAATGTCGATTCTTTCTATGACAATTTGACCATTGTCAGGGACCGTCATAAGTTTGAGACTAAATACATTTATAACGCTGACGAAACAGGCTTAGCCATTGTTCAAAAGCCCGATAGAGTGGTGGCTAGACGTGGCGCTCATCAAGTTGGTTCAGTAACTTCAGCGGAAAGAGGTACATTAGTCACAGTTGCCTTTGCGGCGAATGTCATCGGAAATGTAATTCCGCCATTCTTCGTGTTCCCGCGAGTTCGTTTCCACGATCATTTTATTAGGGATGGGCCCATAGGCTCCGCTGGAGGTGCCAACCCTTCTGGCTGGATACAGGATGAAACTTTTATGCATTTTCTGGAACACTTTAAAAAACATACAAATGCATCTCCATTACATAAAGTGTTACTCTTGCTCGACAAGCACTCTTCACACGTCCATATTAATGCACTAGACTTTTCTAAAGACAGTGGCATTATTTTACTATCTTTCCCACCCCACTGTTCTCACAGACTACAGCCGCTTGATCGATCTGCATATGGCCCTTTGAAGAAAGCTGTAAATTCAGGCTGCGATGCATGGATGCGAAACCATCCAGGAAGGACGATGTCCATTTATGATATTCCAGGGATTGTAGCATCTGCTATGCCAACTGCTCTCACGCCTTCAAATATTCAAACCGGCTTTCGCAAAACAGGAGCTTACCCATATAATAGGAATCTATTTACTGAGCTCGATTTTGCTCCTGCGTTTGTTACGGATAGACCAAATCCTGAAAATTCTACCGAATCAGCTGCTGTTCCTGTACGAGTACTAAATACTATCTCGCCTGAAGAGCCTGTATTTGTAATGGCTACGTCGAATCTAAAAATATAGCAGAGGCAGCAATTGTTCCTGTACCAAACACTAACCCATCTGAAGATGAAACGCCGCCAATATCGCCTTCTACATTAAGTTATAAACCACCAGCTATCAGTAGCTCACCAGTTCGAAGAACTTCACAAGAAAACGTGATTGAACTTCCGGAAACTGTAACTACACCACCCAGATATCACAGCAGCATAAGTATTCTCCAAAACCCAGTTCAAGTGCTCAAATAATTTCTTCTAGTATCCCCACTGTATTTTCACCGGAAACAATACGACCATATCCAAAAGCTCCTTCGAGTAAAAATAATAATGGAGGGCGAAAAATCAGGAAGTCAACAATTTACACTGATACACCAGAAAAGGAAGAGATAAGAAAGGAGCACGACGCAAGGTTGAAACGAACAAGAGCTAAGCAAGTTAAGAAGCAATTGAATGGAGAAAAGAAGGAGCAACGGAATGGAGGAAAAAGTAAAAGAAAATCCGCAAAAGGAAAAAATAAAAATGTACGAGGATGTATCATCATCAGAAGAAGAGGAATGTTTTTGTCTTATTTGTATGTCACCATATTCAGAGAGCAGATCTGGAGAAAAGTGGATCCAATGCACCATTTGTAAATTGTGGGCTCACGAAGAATACACAGGAGATGGTTTTAGTTACGTTTGCTATAATTGCGACTCAGATTAATCTTTATATTTAACTAATGATTGATTAACTAATGAAAGACAAATACAGTTTTCTTCCATTTATTTTCAAATTATTTTTGTTTAGTTTATTAAGTTGATTTTCGTTTTATTTTTCGTTGTCAAATAGTTAATTATCCGTAATTATTCTTAGAATTTGAACAAATAGTTAATTAAACGTGTTTTAATGTTATATTTAGTGTTATTTGCACGTGTTTCAACTGACGTCAATCAGTGTTTCAACCGCCCCTGGTATGGGGACGGTTGAAACAAATCGTCTTTTCTTTTAAATTTGATGTATTAATAAAAATAACATACTTGGACCTAAAATCAGATTACCCATTAGTAGATAGAAGCATGCTCTTTTATTTAACTAATCTTCTTCATCGCTCTGAATATAAAAAGCAAAACTATAGACAATTTAAGTGAAATTGTTTCAACTGTACCGAGTCTACCCTATGGCTTCGAAGACTCACGCCGTTATGCTGAAATACTGCAAAACAGAATGCTAAAATTAACGTATTCTAAAGTGCCAAGACTTTCCTGTTATCATTTATACAGTGAAACAAATGACCTAGATATTCGACAAACGTTCTGTTTTAAAGTTACCACTAAATATCACAGTAATAAACAGGACTTTATTATGCGAATACCCATACCCTACACGGCAAAAACATGGCATTATCGTGCCTTCTTCCCAAAAGTGTGCTGGACTGCGTTCATATGTATAAGGATCATATGCATGGACATATCAATATCTGTGGGAGATACAGCTTACGTTAAATTATAAAAAAGCTGCGTTCTTCGGGTCGTATTTACATGTTGTTGAGAAATATGCAAAAAATTCATGGCTTACTTAGGTATTTGGGAAATACTAAAATTTGCCCAAATCGTTCCTATTTTTTCTGACTTTATTTTGAGATATATCAAAAACTAATGAAACTTTTTCATTCGCACTTTTCAGGCACACATGATGGTATTTTCAAATTTTATGCCGACGTTTCGATTTCGAGAAATAGTCATCAACTGCATTTTACTATATGGTCGGGAAAAAGAACATCCTGTACGTATTAGTATTTCCCACCAGCTGAGCTATTTTTTTCGCTATCATTTTATATAAAAAACTAATGGAACTTTTTCATTGGCACTTTTTAGGCACTACATGATGGTGTTTTTAAATTTTGTGCTTTTGTGCTGACGTCATAATAAACTTATACTTAATTTTATGTGGTCCTAAAAATATATAATAGCAGCTCAGCTATTTTGTCGGCTATCATTTTATTGTCGGTAAACAGCTTAAATCATAGACAGCCAATAGTTTTTATTGTAAAGTCAGTATACCATTAGGAGTTAGGTAGATTGACTATGAATTATTGGTCATCCTAGAAGACCGGCAGGTCGGAAATAAAATAATCAAACATTCGAACTACAGTATTTATTTAAGTATAAATGCCCCTTGAGAAACCCTTCTGTGATACGGATGAATGCTTTTCTTTAATGTTCTCGCGCATTTTTTTTTCTTAGCGGGTCAAACTTCGGGATGATAAAACTGATACATAAGTACTGCACTTTAGCTTGAAAGTGACAGATGGAAATTTTAGAAGGGTG